GTGTGTGTGTGTGTGTGTGTGTGTGTGATCCAGTCATGTAAATCCTGTGATTATGCTCCTGATTTACAAATCATGTCAGCTCTTATTTTGGTTCATACGCATGAATGTCTTATGAAATGAAATCATAATCAGATTATTATACACACACACACAGAGAGATAAAAATAGAGAGAGAGAGATCTGCTGTACAGTACAAACTCTTAAGTTCCAAGTCAACATAAAAGTTCACTCTAGTTCACGCCAAAATTAAAAAAAAAAAGTCATTCACTCACCATAATGTTGTTCCAAAACAAACCTGTATGACTTTCTATCTTCTGGATTTTAATTCATTGTGCTGGTCGCTCTTTACCATGCAATTGCAAAGAATGGAGACTTTCAAGCTCCTACGGAAACCAAAACACCATATAATATCATGAACATGTTCATAAGACTTTTATGTAAAGATTTTTGAATTCACATGTCAAAAGTCATTATTGATTTATCCGATTAAAAAAAAAATCAATGAAAGGTCATGAACCAAAACAACTAGCTCAGAGACAAGTAAATCAATCAATCAATAAAATCTGCAAGTTGGGTAAAAAAAAAAATTATCTGATTTAAGTTGATTTATTTCTTGTTTTGAACATAAACTAACCTAATTTAGATTTTTTTTTTCAGAAAACAACAGTATCTTAATTCATTTTGCTTCTTGAAAAAACTCTTTGAAAATCTGAAAATGTTATTAAGACAAAAGAAAATAATAATTTAGTTGAAATTGTGGCATCACTTTTTATATGTAAACTGAAAAATCTTTGGTGTAGAAACAATTTTCAATTGCTAGTAAGTTTCACAAATAATTACTAAAGTAAAACAACGAATATGACATTTTAAAGAAGAATAACTGAATTAGTCTTTTCTTGTAATACATTGTGAATAATCTAACAGTCTTTGTTTTACAACTTTTTGCAGTATAATGTCTAAAAACATATTACTCTATGCCGATAATGGATTGTTTTTATTTAAAATTTTTAGTCAAATTACCCATTCAGCTAAGAGTGCACATTTTAAGTCATTTTTACTCAAACATCACCATTCACTAAAAATAAAGGCATGAATGAGTTGCAAATGTAAGAGCTCAGACATGTGGTGAAGGGAAGAGTAAGTCGAGCAGTGAATGAGGAAAACAGGAGTGTGGAAGGGTTTCTGTCATTTGGAGGAGGGGAGAGAGGGGTTATTGAGGGCGAGGGATGATGGGGGCGGGGGGTGAAAAATGGGTCACGCCGTTGTACACGCTAACAGAAACGCAGTGCTATGGCAACCTGAGAGCAGCAGCAGATCAGTGAAAACGTAAAACTGGAACAGAATGAGAATGAGAATGAGCTGAAGGCGTCTGGGAAAGAGCGAGCACTTCTGTCTCATCAAAATGTTTTCTGCTCATTTGTTCTGTGTTTTCTGTAAATGTACAGCCTAGTGCTTCAATGATTTTAATGCTGGTCTATTATTGTGATTTAGCAACCCTTTCCTAAATAGCTCACAAACAAACAAACACACACACACACACACACACACACACACATATATATATATATATATATATATATATATATTCATTTATTTTTCCCCAAATATATTTCAAAATATACAAAATGCCAAAACGTGTTTCAAAATGTATTTACATATATATATTCCCTACCAATATTTTTTTTTGTATATTGAAAATATATTTTAAAATATATAAATACATTCATGTCACATTTAAAGAAAATTAAAAAAAAATATTTGTTGTCCACAAAATGTGTAAATATATAGCGCATTTGAATAAATTCAACAATTCCATCCACATTTGCAAATTTGTAGGCTATTGTAAGAATGAAAATTTATTTTCTTGCCTCTGAAATACATTTTGAAATATATATTGGTATATTAAAGGGGAATTCAATATATGTTCTGTTTCAAAAACATATTTTATTGAGCTTCATATTTAAAATATATTTTGGCCAGATAAAAATATTGTTGGGGTTCTATGGAGAGTTCTTGATTAAAATAAGCTGCAAAGTAGTTGAAAATATTATGTTGAGAGTCGGTGGTCTAGCTGTGCAAGACTACATATGGATTAACATGCAGAATGACTGCAATGAAATGAGATAGTAAAGAAGCACAGGCCTGACACACAGCGAGAGCACTGAGAGATAGCGAGACAATTGTGTTTGTTAAGGCTGTGGAGGGTGTGACTGTAAAGCAGTTGTGCAGGTGTGTGTGTGTGTGTGTGTGACAGAGAGAGAGAGAGAGCAGATGATTAGACTGCAGCTGACACACTGACCCACTAACACTGCAGCTCTCACATCTATACTACAGCTGTCTCTCCCTCTCTTACACACACATATCGACACACTCCGTTTTTCTCGCTAAAGGTTCCTCCCCTCCCCCTCCATCCATCTACTCTAATTCAAACTCTATTCTAAAGAACAGTCCACACACACACACTTCACTTAGTCATGAATGAGTGGTAAGAATCTGTCTACATTAGCAGTGTTTAAAATTAATTAAATCATTTAAAAATACATTTAGTTACATAACTAGTTCAGCCCAAAAAGGACTGCCTTTGACTATATTCTTAGTCAGACCAAAAATTAAGTTCATATTGACCAAACATCTCCCATTTACTGAATAAATTACATAAAAAAACAGTGATTTTAAATTGTAATAATATTTCAAAATTTTGCCAATTTTACTGTATTTTTGGTCAAAAAAAAATGCAGCATTGGTGAGCAAAAGCGACAAAACATAAAAAATGCCAACCCCAAACTTTTGCACGTAGCGTATCTGACCTAGTCCTTCTTTATTATCTCACTGTGACTGGATGGGTCAAATTTCTCAACGTCAAGTAGATGTTATTAAGCTGCATAAACGTAAGTCGTATTTTGGGTTCACAATATGTTCTGTGTAAGTTCATGTCATTTTTTCCCTATAAAATTTCCCTGTAATTTGCAGGAATCATTTCCTTTTTTCTCTTCTGAGGAACACACAAAATCCTTTCTAGATGATTTTGTTCCAACTACATCTCCTCAGTTTCCCCGTCCACCCACCAGGCCATGGGGGTGAATTACTCAGCAGCCCCGGAGCTCATTTCCCTGTGTGAAGATCATGGTGTGCTGTATGACAGCAGGGATCTTTGGGTGGCTAACACATTCCTGACATACCGGAGGCGGGGGGTCGGGGCACTGCATGTCATCCTTACAGCGCTGGGTGGGGCATAAAAACCATGTGGCATTCCAGCACTTGTGCTGCTACAGAAATGTTCCGGGTTCAGGCCAAGTTAAGCTCTATCAACAGCGTCTGTGATACAATATTGATTAGCACAGAGAGAATTTTGTCTCCCTCGGGCAAAAAAACAAACAAACCTAAAACCGTACAATAAATCACTTACAGTAGACATTCAAATACAGGGTTTTAACCATGTAAAGCGTGATGTACAAATTGATTGATTTATTTAGTAATCATTTATTGAACCTTTAGACAAAATATATTTTTTAAAAGTTTGCTTTTGTGTTTTTTCTTGAGTATTATTTTATACATCAGGCTTTTATGGCTCATATATGATATAGCTTTTCATAATCCCATTTATCTAACAATTCACTTTTTGCAAATTAATCTTTGGACTTGTGTTAAAATTTGTGAATATCAAATTGGTTATGGCTACTATACCATCAGTTCTGAAAGATCATTTTGTGTTGAACCTTTTTCTAATTTTGAGGGATTAAGTTGGAAAATCTGTTTTAAACCTCTCTCTCTCTCATCTCTATTTTTAAAATATGTCTTTTCCAAACCCATTTTAGTTAGTTTAGGTAGCTATCAAGCACTCTGTGGTCGTGTGTTGGCGCTGACACTGGCAGTAACCCGAATTTGAGAACAAAAGGTTGCAGAGCTGCATGCAAATGATGCAGAGCGCTTCTGCTGATCTGCAAACAATGCAATGCATGCGTGAGTGTCTGTCTGTCTGTGTGTGTGAATGAATGCATGGACCATTCCTTTGGTACTTCATTAATAATCATTCCACCCATCCCCTTAATGCATATGCGCCCTTCCCCCTCCATATGCAAGAAGAGAGCTCTTTTCTTTATTAATCAACAATGCATTATTTTGCATATCTTTATGCATGTGATTTAAACACCCCAGTACTTGAACAGAGCAAGTTACCGTAACTCAAGGCTACAGTGCCCGGGTTGATACATCATCTGAATGACTAGTTGTCCGATTTTCTGAAATGCAAGAAAAAAGGTGTTTTAGAGGGAGGTGTTGTTTTAAACACCGTTCTAGGGTTGCTGGCTCCCTTTTCTTTGTTCTCTCTGCTAGTGGCTGGCTTTCTAAGCAGTGGATTATGTTTAGTAGATCAATATCGCCTCTAGTGGACGTAGTGTGTAATTACTATGCTTTTGGGTTTCTTGGTGTTGCTTCGGTCTTTAACATAATTAAATATAGCAATCCTCAGAGTCTTTTCTGCATATAAAATATACCGTTTTCTAAATGTCCTGTATTAAGCAGTAATTTATATATATTGGCTATTTTAAGGTTTAGGAACTACAGTGATGAGCAGACTGAGCTTTAAATCTCAATTCTTCTAATATTGCTGTATTGTGAGGTTTACATAATACTGGGATTTTTTTAAACTAGTGATTTTAATATTTATTTATAAACAAAAATAGAGATACATATCAATTAAAGGAATTAAAAGTAGCCTATTTGGTTTTGGATCAAAATGAGTGGTCTATGCTGTGAAAATATGGCTAACACATTGTGCTATAAACTATACTATGAAAGCAAGCATTTAATATTTACTATGACTATTAAAAACAAGCATTTACAAGCATAACCCCTTTGCTCTTCTGCTGACTGTGTGTGTGCCAACATGCATTTGGCTTATCTTCTCTCATTCTGCTTTTCTCTTCAGGAAAATGGCCATGTGAAAACCAATGGCGACGTATCCACCAAGCCAGATGGAGAAGCCGTGGCAGCAGACGGAAATGGGACCACGGAGGTTGCCAAGGAGGAGGGAGATGGCATTGAAGCCGCTCCTGCTACCGAAGGTGACGCCGCCAAATCCGATGGCGAAGCTGCAAAGGAAACCAAGAAGAAGAAGAAATTCTCACTGAAGAACTCCTTCAAATTCAAGGGCATTTCCCTGAAGAAGAACAAGAAGGGAAGCGAGGAGGCAGCAGAGCCCGCGGCCACGCCCACCGCCGAAGACAAACCCGAGGAGACCGACCAGGCTGCTACTGAAACCAAAGAGGAGGAGCCTGCTGCGGCAGAAACCAATGAGACACCGGTACCTGAGGCAGAGGCAGAGCCCAAAGCAGAGGCGGAGCCTAAAGCAGAAGAGCCCGCCCAGGAAACAGAAGCCGCGCCCACAGAGGAGACCACAAAATCTGACGAGACCCCAGCCCCTGCTGAAGAGACCACGCCCACCACAGCCTCGGACCCGGAGCCGGCTGCAGAGTGACCTCACTTCACTGTGGCAACCTAGACTGTTTATCTTTATCCTTTTTTTCTTTTTGAGATTGAAATATATAAATATATATATAAATATATGAGACTTGAGCCACAATCTTAAAGTTACAGCAATACTACAGAGAAACCAAGTTCTTTTACCACCTTTGCTGATAACAGTCTCTAGTTCACGGTTTGTCCGGTCCGGTGTCAGTGAGCTCTGTGCTGCCGCATGTCAAGAGCATTTTTTTTATTTTTTGGGAAACGGGCCAGGAATTGCTCTGTGTATGGATTGGAACGACTGATGGAATTTCCGCCTCAGCGGATGGAAGAGCGTGGCTCCCTGTTCACAGTCTTCAGTCATTTGTCTCTTTAAACTTCATCTGATCCTTGATTTTTCAGGGCTGATGAGTGAAATGACAAATTGTCCTCTTAGGAGATGGTTATGGGACGATGTAAAACTACAAATAAAAAAAATAAAATCTTTTTTATAGTGTTTAAATAGCTCTACATTCCAATTTTTTGGCCCTGAAGGGTGTCAGAAGATCTGGGCGAGTGAATAGGTTTTAGTCTTAGTCTGTTTTTAATGATGTTTTACAGTTTTAATCAGATCCAGCTACACATTTCAAAGTTTGTGACAAAGGGGAGTTAAACCACTGCTTTTATTAAATATATATTTTTGTTCTGTTAAGTCTCTGTACATACATTTTCTGACTCTTTATTTTGCTAACATTTCCAGGTGTTAATAAGATGTTGTACGATTAGGCCAAATAAATGTTTGACCGACCCCCGTGTTTGTTTGTTTTTCTATCAAATTTAGTTATTTTTTTTTGTTAGAACATTATTTAAACAATATCAAATAACTTCATCTGCACAAAGAACATCTTATATTAATATTGCATATTGTAAAAATTATGCATGTTTAGCTGACATTCAAATTCAGACAAAAAAATGATGAACTGTCTAATCTCATTGGGAATGTAAATTCACATTAAGAAACTAAAAAGCAAGGTTTTGCAGGGCAATTCATGCCATCACATCAATAAAGGCAAAGTTTACCCAAAAATGTTAAATATGTCTTAATATACTCACCCCAGTATTGTATGCATTTCTTTCTTCCGTGGAACACAAACAAAGATAAAAGGTGTTTCTCACTCTTTTTTGTTAATAAAAAACAGTTAGTGAGGTCCAACATTATTTAAAATATCTTCTCTTGTGTTCCACGGGAGCAAGTGTCACAGGTTTAAATGTAATCAATAATATGGTAATTGCAATAATTCATTACATTTATAAAACGCTTTTCTAGGCACTCAAAGCGCTTTACATTGTCAGGGTGTATCTCCTCATCCACCACCAGTATGCAGCATCCACCTGGATGATGCGACGGCAGCCATAGTGCGCCAGAACGCCCACCACACACCAGCTTATTGGTGGAGAGGAGACAGAGTGATGAAGCCAATCAGCAGATATGGGGATTGTTAGGAGGCCATGATGATCAGAGGCCAATGGGCAAATTTGGTCAGGATGCCGAGGTCACACCTCTACTCTTTTCAAAAGACATCCTGGGATTTTTAATGACCACAGAGAGTCAGGACCTCGGTTTAACGTCTCATCTGAAGGACGGTGCTTGTTGACAGTATAGTGTCCCCGTCACTATACTGGGGCATTAGGACCCACACAGACCACAGGGTTAGCACCCCTTGCTTGCCTCACTAACTCCTCTTCCAGCAACAACAACCTAGTTTGCCCAGGAGGTCTCCCATCCAGGTACTGACCAGGCTCAGCCCTGCTTAGCTTCAGTGGGTAAGCAGTCTTGGGCTACAGGGTGATATGGCTGCCGGTGTGTCTGTCCAGCAATGAAGTGTCTGTCCCATTTAAGATGCCAAAATACCTAAAAGTGTAATTTACTCACCTTCATCTCGTTTCTTTCTTCTCACCAAACTGATCACTTTGTCTAAATTGATGAATATAGTGTGCTAATGTTCTTTAACTTATATGTGATCAGCACTAAATAAAGCAGTAAATTATGTCTAAATATTTTGATCTAATCACTAAATACATTCACTAATGTGTTCTCAGTGTGTGCTGACATTCTTATGCATTTAGATACTTTTATTCATTATTATTGAATGTGATTTATCCAAGACATGTTCACTTTAACACGCAAACTGCTTTAATAAAACAGGAGCAATTTTAAATAAACAATTAAAGGTATTTTAATCATGTTAATTAATAATTATACACAATTCTTCAACCAAGTAGTACAGTTCATTAACCTAACTTGAATGCAACAAATTATATTATATTCCGCAAAGTTCAAGTAAAAATATACAGTAAGTTCACATATTATAGCACCACCCTATGGCCAGCTATCAAATAATTTGAATGATGATGATGATTGTCTATTTACTACTAAAATCTAAATCAAAAATTAAATAAAGGTGGTTAAAATATGATCCCACAGATAAAACCTGTAAATAATTAACAATTTAAAAATGTAGATACAGTATTATTTTTATTACACAGTGTATGTGTAAATTATGTTGTTGTTTGTGTGTAAATCTATTCAGGCTTAATATTAATATTTTTTAATGTACTATGCTACTGAATGACAGAACAATTTCAAAGGTACATGGCCCACTGGTTTCACAAACCCCATAATAATATATACAATCCCCCATGAATAATAGTTTGTTAAAACCATATATGTACAGGGAAGCAAAAATCAACAATAGCCTAATAAACTAAACTAATAAACTAAACATTATAACAAGGTCCTTTAGATGCACATCATCTCCAATTTTTTGTGCTGTAATACTCTGACCTTTCACTGTACTCTATGAAGGAAAGATGAGTTCCACATGCTTTTAAGTGTCATCAGGAGATAAGTGGAAACATCTCCATCTATCCATAGAGATCATCATCATCATCAGACATGTACCTGTAACCATCGTACGTCCGATCATTGCGATACCTGCAATCATATTTTTTAGGAGTAAGCATTAACATAGGAAAATAAGAAATAAGAATAAGAAATAGTTGCTAAATCAGAAGAAATGTGCATGTATGCTAACTGTTGTTTAAAAACAATGACTATACTTACTTAAAGCTGACAAATGGCTCTAAAATATGAGCCACATTCACAGAAGCTGCTGTAAAACAGCTGATATACACACAGATATATGTCCATACCATATTAAGCTTTTATTTACAACATAAAATCATTTAGTAGATGCTAAATCAAATAATAAATGCAAATATGCATGCATCATATCTGAATACACTTACGTCCTGGGCCATACTGCTTTCCCTGTTTTACAGAAATCTGAAATCAGGGGAGAAAAGTTAAACAAGCATGTTTCAGTGGGTAAAGAGTGCAAACACGAATTAAGTGATACAATTATGTATAATCTGCGTCTCTTTGAGTTCCTACGTTTTTTTCTTCCATTTTTGTATACATTTTCTTTTACAGCTTTTTCCCCTTATGAATCTTAGAATCTTCAAAGTACGCTGTTTTGACTTACTGTGGACAAATAAACAACCACCAAATAACGTCTCAGTTACGTACGTAACCCTTGTTCACTGAATGGAGGGAACGGAGATGTTATGTCGAATGACATATGGGGTCTCACTTGGGAGCCCAATCATCTCTGAGTTTAAGAGAAAACGCCAATGAGAATTGGCTAGTGGATTTTGCATGCTGAGCCACTCCCTGTGCACACGAGTATATAAGGCGACAGCGTGCATCCCCTCATTAGATTTTTGCTTCGGAGCCGAGCGGTTTATGTATAATACATTTCCACAAAGCACGTCATCCTACCGAGACGTTCCCTATCTGGACACTACGAGTTATGTCAAATGACAAAAGGGGTCTATGGAAAATGCCACAACCTGGAACAACTGCCAGAAGAGACTGACAGAGCGGATCTGTCAAGGGAAGACACAGGTTTACCGAGAGGGAAACCTTATCATGGAAGAAAACATATATGGGATTACCCGTAGGTAATCAAGACATATGGACACCTAGCCCAGTACAGGGGCTGACCGGGACTCCGGGCATGCTAACACCAGTACTGGGCCTGGCGTCAGACTGCTCCACCAAGTCTGACTGCCGGGGGCACTGGAGGATGCTCGACCAGAGTTTGCCAAACGGGGAACTTTACTGGGAGAAGAAAGGTGGTCGAATCCCCATGTGAGGGGGAATGGCGCAGTAAGCATGACACTGAGCCAGATCTTCCTGACAATTACCAGTTACCCAACACATGGGAAGAAACCGGCTCTACACTAAGGTTGTAAAACCTCGCGAAGCTGTTAGGTGTCGCCCAGCCCCCAGCTTGACAGATGTCTGCCAGAGAGGCGCCAGCACCCAGTTGGAGGTAACGCTCTGAGTGGAGTGGGCTCTCACCCTGAGGGGGCACGACTCGCCTTGGGATTGGTACGCCAAGGCGATGGCATCCACTATCCAGTGGGCCAACCTCTGCTTGGAGACAGCCTTCCCTTTCTGCTGACCTCCAAAGCAGACAAGGAGCAGCTCAGAGCTTCTGAAGCTCTGGGTGCAGTCCACGTATATGTGTAATGCTCTTACGGGACAAAGCAACGCCAAGGCTGGATCTGCCTCCTCCGGGGGCAGCGCTTGCAGGTTCACCACCTGATCTCGGAAGGGTGTGGTGGGAACCTTGGGCACGTATCCAGGCCAGGATCTCAGGACAACGTGAGAGTAGGCCAGCCCGAACACAAGGCAGTCTTCACTTACCGAAAACACTTGGAGGTCCCCGATCCTCTTGATGGAAGTGAGCGCAATCAGGAACGCTGTCTTGAGAGACAGGAACTTCAGCTCAACTGAATCAAGCGGCTGAAAGGGACCCTTCTGAAGTCCAGCCAGGACAACAGAGAGATCCCAGGAGGGTATCAGGAGTGTCCTAGGAGGATTCAACCTTCTGGCACCCCTCAGGAACCTAACGATCAGGACATGCTTCCCCAGGGACCGGCCGTCCACTGCATTGTGATGTGCTGTGATAGCAGCAACATACACTTTCAAGGTGGAGGGTGACAGCCTACACTCCACGCTTTCTTGCAGGAAAGAAAGCACGACTCCAATCGAGCATCTCCGGGTGTCTTCTCGGTGAGAAGAACACTAATTCGTGAACAGACTCCACTTCAAAGCATAGGCCTGCCTCGTAGAAGGAGCTCTAGCCTGAGTGATAGTGCCTACCACCGCTGGTGGCAGATCACTTAGGTCTGCCGCCTCCTGTCCAGAAGCCACACGTGGAGGTTCCAGAGATCTGGATACGGGTGCCATATGGTGCCCAGCCCCTGTGAAAGGAGGTCCTTCCTCAGGGGGATGAGCCAGGAAGGGGCTGTCATGAGGAGCATGACTTCCGAAAACCAGGTCCGGGTGGGCCAGAAAAGCACAACCAACAGGACCTGTTCCTCGTCCTCCCTGACCTTGCACGGTGTCTGTGCAGGCAGGCTCACTGGGGAAAACGCATACTTGTGTACAGCCCGAGGCCAGCTGTGTGCCCATGCATCCGTGCACAGGGGGGCCTGGGTCAGGGAGTAGTACAACTGGCAGTGGGAGGACTTTTGGGAAGCAAAAAGGTCCACCTGAGCTTCTCCCAATCGACTCCAGATCAGCTGGACCGTCTGGGGATGGAGTCCCCATTCTCCGGGGAAAGTAAGCTGTCGTGAGAGTACGTCGGGTGCACAATTGAACTCCCCCGGAATGTGGACAGCGCGCAGGTACTTGAGCCACGTCTGACTCCAGAGGAGGAGATGGCAGGCGAGTTG